TGAAGAGATTTGTTGTGTGGATTCAACAACAGGTTATAGAAGACAGATTTACTAGATTGTTCAAAAGAGCAATAAAAAACAATGCAAGTTATGCAACTGACCAACAGAGAAAAATAGATTGAAAAAATAACCCGAGTTATCAGGCACCTTAGAATAATACAAAATAATCTTGTCATAAAAATATCAATAGGAGGGGAGAAAGAGTACAGTATAGGAAAAAATTCTATGCAGCTGTAAGGGAAGATGAAATCTTGCAGTTTGCTGCAATTTGGATGGAACTGGAGGGCATCATGCTATCTGTTAAGTCCTAAGGAGGATATACCTGACATGTAGAGCCAGAAAAGTCCTTGGGGAAAAGAAGATGGGAGGCATCACTTTTCAACTTCAAAGAATACTACAGAGTGGTCGTAATCAAAAAAGTTTGGTACTAAAATAAAGATAGGCACTCAGATCAATAGAACAGAATTGAAAATCCAGACTCGGTTATATGCTAAGTTAGTCTTCAATAAAGGATCAAAAATATCAAGTGGATCAAGGAGAGCCTCTTCAATAAGTGGTGCTGAACTCAGACCTCTTTCTAGCACCATGCACAAGTCAAATCAAAATGGATTAAAGACCTTGATATCAGACCTTAATCCATAAAGTACATAGAGGAAAACATAGGTGTAACTCTCCATGACACTGAAATAAAGAGGCATCTTTAAGGATGAAGGGTCACTTATCAAACAAATAGAAGCAAATATAAATAAATAGGACTACATTAAACTTCTGTATCTCAAAGAAAACGGTGACCAGAATACAAAGACAGCCCACAGACTGAGAGAAATTATTTGCCCACCACTCATTTGATAAATATCCAAGACATATAAACACTGATAGAAGTTTACAAGAAAAAGAAATTAAAAAATTGGGAGAAGAGATGAGCAGAAACCTCCACAAAGAAGAAATACTATTGGTCAAAAAGTACATTAAAAATGTTCCATATTACTTATCATCAAAGATACTGGTTCTCAGAAAAAAGAAAATAACAAATCAAAAGGAAACTGGTGTTGGTAGGTATATGGAGAAAAACGGATCTCATTCACTGTTAGCAGCAATATCGACTGGTCCGGCCTTTTTTGGAAGACATTATGGACATTCCTCAAAAAGCTTGAAATTGTGCTTCCAAACGACCCAGCAATTCCATTCCTGGGAATTTACTCTAAGGATTCAAGAAACACTGCAGAAAAGACATCTGCACTCTTAACGTCTATTGCAGCACTATTCACAATAGCCACAATCTGGAAATGACCTAAGTACCCAAGAACAGATGACAATCAAAATGCAATGATAAATATACACAATTGAATACTACTTGGCTATGATAGAAGATGAAGTCAGGCAGTTTACTGACACATGGATGGATCTGGATGTATCATGCCAAGTCAAATGAATCACAGGGAGATGGACAGATACAGAATAATGTCCCTCATATGTGAGATAGAAAGAAACACAGTAGGGAAATAACTAATGACCCAAGGCAATAGAAATAAGAGCAGCAGAACTGGTCCTTGGTAAAAATCTTTACACTGTAGCAGTAGGGGGCTAGGCCAGGGAAGGGACCACCATGATGACAATGATAGAGGGAAGTGGTTACTCTGGACAAAGACTGGGTGCTGAAGGGATGTAAAGGGATGTATATGATACACCATCAGTAACAGTATTGTAAACCACGTTGCCTAAGAGGGAAAAAGTGCCTGCCATAGAGATAGGCTTTGGTTGAAGGGACACTTGGTGGAGGGAAGTGGACACTAGTGAAAGGTCAGAACATTGCGCACCTAAAACCCAATCATGAATAACTTTGGAACTCACAGTGATTAAATGAAAATAAATAAAACAGTAGAGACAATTTGGAAAATTGCTTAAAATCAGAATGAAAATATTCTTAGTGGAGGTGCTGTCTCTCCACAGAAAGAAAAGAGAGTGAGAAGAGAAGTGCTTTCAGGAGCAGAATTAGAGATACAAGGACTTAATGAGCATCTGTCATAAATGGTTCTAAGTGTGTATTTGTATTTGTGCTTTAATTTGGATTGCACCTTAGGTAACATGGTTACAATGTATTTTTTAATTTCAGGATTAAAATATAGATCTCAAAATGTACATGAGGACCAGGAGTTGAGCATTTGCCTAGCATAGGTGAGGTCCTGGGTTCATTATCCACATGGACAAATACATATTTTAAATATAAATACAGTATATATTTTTACTATATAGTATATATAATTTTAAAATATTTTGACTCCTTAACTTTTTAATTCTTCTTTTTTTTTTTTTTTTTTTTTTTTTTTGCTTTTTGGGTCACACCCGGTGATGCACAGGGTTTACTCCTGGTTCGTGCACTCAGGAATTACTCCTGGTGGTGCTTGGGGAACCATATGGGTTACTGGGAATTGAACCCGGTTTGGCAGTGTGCAAGGTAAATGCCCTACCCGCTGTGCTATCACTCCAGCCCCATAATTCTTCATTCTTTTTAAAATTTTAAGCATACTACTTTACAAAACTGTTCATAGTAGGGCATAACACAATACAGCACCACACCCTCTTCCAAAGTGTCCACTTCCCTCCACCATTATCCCAGTGTCCCCCCACCCTAATCTCTTCAATCTTCAATCTCCACACCCCTTTCACCTAAGTGGTAAACTTCCTACCAAAAACTCGTTTTCAGTTTCTGTTGCCTTTGGGTCTTTGTTATTCCCCTACTTTGTTTCTTTCTCTCCTGCAAAAGAAAGAGATCATTCTGTGTCTGTACCTCCTTCTGATTAACTTCACACTGCACGAGAAAGACTCTGGATCCCTCCATGTAGTATGTATCAAACGGCTCTCATTGAACCCATCCGAATAGCCAATGAGGAACAAAGGCACTGATCACACTAACCGTTAGGTCCATGCACCGCTTGAGTGCCTTCTAGGACCAGTAGGTTTGCAATGAAGTCAGGAAAGACCTTCTTCTAGATTCCCATGGCCTCCCTGGCCACACTCACAGCCCCAAACTTGCACAAACCCAAAGCATGGGTTCTTAGTGTTCCTTCTGAGACCTCAGGCCAGTGGCACTGTGACAATCCTGCATTTTCTTACAAAATATAGAATGTACTGAAGATGTTCACATACAAAGTAAACATGGTTAATGTAAATGTTTCAAATATGCCCCCCAACTTAGTAACCTAATTTTCTCATATCTTCATTTCTGTTTTGGTTTGGTTTGTTTCCAGGCCGTGCTCATTGGTGTTCAGGGCTTACCTCTGGCTCTGTGCTCAGGGATCACTTCAGGCAGGGCTTGGGGGACCCTATATGGTACCAGTGATTGAACTTGGGTCAGCCACATATAAGACAAGTGTTTTACCCACTTGCACTATCTTTCAGGCCCCTGCATCATCATTTTTTAATATGTTACTTGCTTCGGAAGACAGAAATGGCTCAGGTCTTATAAGATATAAGGGATTCTGGGTTCTAGCATAAACTGGAGTTTCAGGAGAAAAGAAAGAGCCTGGAAAAGGCATCTTGTCATTCTGCGCGCTCTCTCTCTCTGTCTCTCTCTCTTTCTTTCTCTGTGTCTCTCTGTCTCTCTCTCCCCCTGTCTCTTTCTCTTTGTCTCTGTCTCTCACTGTCTCTCTCTCTCTGTCTCTGTCTGTCTGTCTGTCTGTCTCTCTCTCTCTCTCTCTCTCTCTCTTCCTCTCTGCCACTCCCATCAAGTCATGGGGTGGAATGTCCTGTATCCCACAAGGAGACCCAGTGGTAGCCTGTTGGAAAGGTGGCAAGAGGTGGGCCCACACAGTGTGGGATTAGAGCTTCACTCCCCCTGCAGATTTCCAGGCTGGTTTGAGGTTCTCTCCCTGAGCCCTTCTGCTCTTGCTTTGCTCTGATTCCTTGGCTTCCCTCTCCCTGTCTCTCCTCAGCCCAGACGGAGTCGCAGCATGGGGCCACTCCCGCCGCCTCCCCCCTCCCCCCCCCCCCCCCGCCCCCATCTCTCTGTGGGTCTTGGAACTCAGAAGCAGACTCTTGTTGGACAGCTGGTTACCACATCTCCCCTGGCCAGGGAGTGGCTCCCAACTAGAGGCCATTAAGGTAGGGAGAAAGGCCTGCATCCCCAGCTGACTCTGGGCCAGCCTGGCCTTGCTGCTGGGTGGTCGGTTGGTGCTGAGGCAGCAAGGGCCGCCCTCCCTGGATGGGCTTCAGCAAGGAAGGAGCTGCTGGCTCTGGGTCCCCACCTAGCAGGAAGGAACTGCCTGGCCCAGCCCCTGTCTTCCTAGGGCTGGAGTGAGGGGGTGGGGGTGGGGGTGGGCTGCAAGGGAGGAAGGGGGCGCTGGTTTGCCACAGCCCCCCATCCAACTCCTGGGGGGGATTTCTCCAAGGGCTGTGGAGAGGGGGCATGGAGAGGGGTGCCAAGGGAGAAGGCAGCACCCAGTCCCTGGAGCGGCAAGTCAGGGCTACCTCGCCCTCTGGTTTGAGGCTGGTGGTGACTCTATAGGTGAAGGAAGAAGGGGCCAGACCATGTGCGACTTAGAGTGGCCAGGGACCAGCTCTGGGACCCTGATTTCACTCAGCAGAGGTTGTTCTCCTTGGGACACGGGGAGAAGGCCCCTCGGTGGGCTGGGAGCCGCTGTTGGGACCCAGCGCTCCAAGAACCAAATCTCCAAGTTGTGCAGAGGAATGCGGGGACGCTGGCCCCAGGTCTGGGCGGCCAGGGCTGCGGGCCCGAGGGTCCGACGCTGGCGGATTTCAGAACTCAGGAAGGAGCCCCTGGAAGGACCCGCTCTGTGCTCCCCGGCGGGAGCAGGGCTCGGTCCACGGCCACCGGCCTTGCTGATGCGCGCCGCACACTTCCCGAGGATACTTTTGGCAGGAGCAGTGGAAGGACCTGCTCGGCTGGAACTTTTTCATCCCTCCCAGGCGACGTCCGATGGGTGTGTCGGGCGGGAGGTTATATGCGCGGGCGGCGGGCGCGGTCGCGGAGCCGGGGCGCCTGCAGGGGGAGAGCATGGCCTCGCGCGAGCCACCCGCCACCACCTACCCGCAGCCCGAGGTGCCCACGGGGCTCGCGGTCTTCCTCACCATCCCCTACGCCTTCTTCCTGCCCGAGCTGGTGAGTGCGGCCGCGGCTACCTGCGGAGAGGGGGCGGGGAGGGGTGTTGAACAGTGCTCCCCACTTTCCGCCCCCGGGGAGGTGGAGCAGAGACGGGGCTGCTGAGGTCCCGGGTCTGGGAGCTGCGCGCACAGCCGGGGGAGGCCCCTCTGCGTGTCCTGGCCGCCGCTGCCCATTGGGGCTGGGGTCCCCCACGATCGTCGTCGCAAGGTGACCGAGGGGTCGGAAAGCTCTTCAACACGTTCCTCTTACGCTTTTCTTTCCCGTGGTGCCTTTTTGCGCTTGCTTCTCTGAAGTATAAGGGGGTAGTGGGGAAGGGGCGGGGAGGAGGTGGGCACTGAATTCCCTTCTGAGTTGCTGTTCCAGAATTCTCTGGGCTCTAGTATTTGTTGCTTTGACCTTTGGCTTCTGTGGACTCGCCACCAGGAGGTAGCTGGTGACAACACTGCCATAAGACAGTCCAATGGGTGCAGCCTCCGGGTGCAACAGTGCCGGTCTCTGCCTTACCTTTTGGGGTACCCTTCCTCTGGACTGTGGCTTTAACCCGGATCCTGCTCTGTGGGGTTCCTGCAGAGCTCTTTATTGCAGAGTCCTTGGTTTTGTGGTTGTTCTCGTATTTTTTTTTTGGGGGGGGGGGGCACACCTGGTGCTGCTCAAGGATCCCTCCCGGTGGGGCTGAGGGTACCCTGCAGGGTGCCGAGGATGGAGCTGATGTCGGGACTATGCCAAGAAAGCGCCCTACGTGCTGTCCTGTCTCTTGGTGTCTTGGTGTCAGAGAGTCTTGCCAAGTCCTCTCTGAATCAGCTCTCCCCAGCCCTGCTTGCTGTTGTGGGCCAGTCCGGTGAGCCTTTGAGAGCCAGGGAGAGTTTCCAGCCCCTACTGAAATACCTTGCTTGTGGGCTGTGTTTTCTTACCAGCTTTCAATTGGGCAGTGTTTCCTCAGGCAAGAGGAAGGGACGGAAAGTAAGTCCAAGTTTCAGGGACCAGAGCAAATAAATAGCAAGAACAGCGGGAAGGGCACTTGCCTTGCATGCAACTGATCCGGGTTTGATCCCCAGCACCACATCTATCCTCCTGAGCACCACCAGGAGTGATCCCCAAGCACAGAGCCAGGAGTAAGCCCTGAGCACCTCTGGGTGTGGCCCAAAAGTCAAAAATTAAAATGTATAAATAAATAAATAAAGCGATTTTGACTTTCACTTGGACCTAGCAGGGCATGCCTTCCCCTCCCTACCTGGAATGCTGGGCCAATTGACAATTGACCCTGGACTTTTGACAGACAGACTAAAGGGCACCCATGGAGGCCATGAGAAAAGGAAATAGTCAGGGAGTGCCCAGCTCTGGGTGTCTGAGGCTGAACTCCACCCAACTGACAGGTTTCTGTCAGGCCTTTCCCCAGGCACTATGTGGGCATCTTGCCAGGCTCATGATGTTCTGTCACTCTGGTGAGCCTTCTGGTCTGGCCCGGGTATGTCCCGCAGCTCAGAAGAACAGGGTGAATTGTCAGGATCTCTGTGGATCCCACCACTTTTCTCTCTGTGTCTCTCTGTGTCTGTCTCTCTCTGTCTCTTTCTCTCTCTCTCTCTCTCTCTCTCTCTCTCTCAAAAGTAGTTCATTATACTCAGTTGGGCCCGATACCCCCATGGTACTTGGGGCGGCTAGGGCTGCACCTAGAGATATTTGGGAGTCAGAGGGGTGCTGGTGATCAAGAGGTGTGTGCCGTGATCCCTGTACTATGTCTTGGGGCCCGCTACCACTTTTCAGGAGGCACTTACTTGACATGGGTCATGTAAACCTGCTCCCTGGAGCGTCTCATGGGTGATTTTACCTAGTCAGGCCCTGCTTGAGGGGGGAGACTGCGCAGGGCTAGGGCACTAGCAAGAGGGGCCATGAAGGTATGTCGTCAGGAAGAGGTTCAGGTTGTGTGCGTGGTTACAGTTTGGCCTTCTGAGACCAATCTGGGTAGGGTTTCAGGAGAGGGGAAAGTCTATTGTTCAGGAGACAGGAAGTGTTTGGTCCTGGAGTTCTGGGGTCAGGAAAGACCCAGGGCCAAGGGGCCGTCTTGTGCCCCACTGCAGGGTGCTGACTGTTCCCTCTGAACAACAGATAAGGACTGTTCAACTGGGTTGAAACCATTTGAGGGTGTGGAGTATCACGCTTGGTTCAGTTGTTTTTCTGTTTCATTTTCTTTGGAAATAGTTTTTTATTTCTAGCAAAACTGCATGAAAGTATAGTGAATTCCTATTCTCTTTCTTCAGTATCCTGCAGCATTCCGCCATCTGTGGCTGAACCAAAACTGGTTTAAGCACGACTGCCCGCCTTATTTGAATTCTACTGGTCTGTACGTTAGTGTCCTTTTTCTAGTCCAGGGTTGTCACTATCCCATCGCTTTATGTCCTTCATCTTAAAATCTTCAACCTGAGGCAGTTTCTCACCCTCTGTCTTGAAGCTTTTGAAGAGTACTGATCTGTTACACTTGACTACATCCCTCCTGTGTGAACTGCTCTGATTAGTTCCTCACTTGACTTTTTAATTTTTTTGAAGGTCACGATTTTTTAAGTTAATTACTATAGCCTGGGTAACATGGTTACAGCAGTGCTAACACTCATTGTTTTGATGTTACACAGTGCCTTGCCCAGCACCATGGTGCCCCAAATTCTCTCCCACTGCCTCTTCTTCCCCACTCAGTCCCCAGTGCCCCCTGCTTGATAATCTGTTTCACATATTCACTTAACATGACCCCCTCCAGTTCCAAACACGTTACAGTGAACTGCAAGATTCCATATTTTCTTATAGCTGTAGAGTACTCCAGTGTGTGTATATATGCGGCTCCTCTGTCATCAAACTTTTGAATTATTTCCATACCCTGGTATTGTATTTAGTGCTGCATTATATACATTGCCCACACAGCAAAGCCTGGCAAGCTTCCCGTGATGTATTTAACATGCCAGACGCAGTAACAAGTCTCACAATGAAGACGTTACTGGGCCCGCTCGAGCAAATCGATGAACAATGGGAGGACAGTGATACAGTGCTATATACATCAGATGTACATGTCTTTTGAATTAATGTCGTTGTGTTTGGGACGTAGATGCCAAGAGGAGGAATTGCTGGGTCATATGAGAGTTCTGTTTTTATTCTTTTGAGAAATCTCCCTACTGTGTTCCATAGAGGCTAAAACATGACATTCTCACCAAAAGTGAAAGAAACAGTGAGGTTTCTTTTTCGCCTATATTCTTATAAACACTGGGATACCTGCCACTGTCACTGTTGTGAGATGTTATCTCTCAGTTTTAATTTGCATTTCCTGTTAATAGGTGACTTGAACACCTTTTCATATCCCTACTTGCCATCCTGATGTCTTCTTCATGGAAGTGTCTGTTCATCCCCTCTCCCTATTACTTGTGGGATTTTTTGTTGTTGATCAACTTTGTGAGTGCTTTATATGTCTTAGATTTTAGCCCTGTATCTGACCTATTGTGTGCAAATATTTTCTCCCATTCAATAGGATGTTTTTCTTTTAGTCCAACTTTGTTTTGCCATAAAAGCGCTTTTTAATTTCATGTAGCCCCATTTGTTAGTTTTTGCATTGGTTGTCTTTACCAATGAAGTAATAATCATTGAAGACATCTCTGAGGTCCGTATCCTGAAAAGTTCTATATTCCTCAATGTGTTTTATGAAATATGATCTAACCTCAACATCTTTTTTGTTTCTTTGTTTGTGTCTGTTTGTTTGTTTATTTATTTATTTTTCATTTTATTAAATCACCGTGAGATCATTACAAGTTTTCATGTTTGGGTTACAATCACACAATGATCAAACAAACATCCCTCCACCAGTACACATTTCCCACCACCAATATCCCCTTTCCCCACCCTCCCCCTGCTTCCATGGCAGACAGTGTTCCCCATAATCTCTCTCTACTTTTGGGCATTATGGTTTGCAATACAGACACTAAGAGGTCATCATGTTTGGCCCATTATCTACTTTCAGCACACATCTCCCATCCCAATCAATTCCTTCAGCCATCATTTTCTTAGTGAGCCCTTCTCTATTCCATCTGCCTTCTCCCCTCTGCTCATGAGGCAGGCTTCCAGCTATGGAGTAATCCTCCTGGCGCTTGTATCAATTGTCCTTGGGTGTCAGCTTCATGTTATGTTATTCTATACTTCACAAATGAGTGCAGTCTTTCTATGTCTGACCCTCTCTTTCTGACCCATTTCACTTAGCACAATACTCTCCAAGTCTATCCATTTATAAGAAAATTTCATGACTTCATCTCTACTAACTGCTGCGTAGTATTCCATTGTGTAGATGTACCAAAGTTTCTTTAACCTAATCTCAACATCTTTAATCCATTTTTAATTAAATTTTGTGTATGGTGTGAGATAATAAATCCGCCCTCATTTTTGGCTTACAAGTAATCCTTATTCATTGTTGGAAACTTAGAAAATAAGCAAAGAAACGAAATTCAGAGGTGGAATTCAGAGACAGAATTTGTAGGTAAAATTTAGAGCTGGAAACATCATTTCTGCATCTATTCTTACCTGGCCATGTGGACCTCTCCAGTGACGTCCTTGTGCCTGCATTCTCTTTCCTGTGAGTAGCCAGCACAGACTCTTGGTTGGAAGATGCCGTGTATTGTGTATCGTGTATCGGAAGCGTGTATTGGAAGTGAAGGACAGGAAGGTAAACAGGAGAGGGGGGAAGAATGTCAAGGCGGCTTAGTTGAGAAGCAGACATCCTGGCTGGAGGAGAGGGCAGCCTTATTGGGGCACCTGTTTTTCCCTGGCCTTCGTTGCCCTCCAGTGGATTCTCAGTCTGAGGGCCCTGACTTAAGAGACAGTCAGTGCTCTACTGTGTGAGCTCTGAGAGAATGCTAAACCCAGGAGCTCAGAGAAAAGTAAAGGGACAGAGAAAGTGAACGCTGTGACTGTACATATGCAAAATGTGGGCCAGCCTAGGCTGGCATCATGGTGTCTGCAGGCTCTGAGCACCC